AAAAATATAAACGCAACACTTTTGTTTTTGCTCCCATTTTTATGAGCTGAACTCAAAGATCTGAGACTTTTTCTATGTACACAAAAGACCTATTTACTCTCAACTATTGTTGATTAATTTCTCTATATCTGTGTTAGTGAGCACTTCTCCTTTGCCGAGACAATCCATCCACCTCACAGGTCTGGCACATCAAGATGCTGATTAGACAGCATGATTATTGGACAGGTGTGCCTTAGGCTGACCACAATACAAGGCCTCTGTAAATGTGAAGTTATATCACACAGCACGATGCCACAGATGTCACAGGTTTTGAGGGAGCGTGCAATTGGCATGCTGACTGCAGGAATGTCCACCAGAGCTGTTGCCCGTGAAGTGAATGTTCATTTCTCTACCATGAGGCGTCTCCAAAGGCGTGTCAGAGAATTTGGCAGTACATCTAACCAGCCTCACAACTGCAGACCAGGTGTAACCACACCAGCCCAGGACCTCCACATCCAGCATCTTCACCTCCAACATCGTCTGAGACCAGCTGCTGCAACAATGGGTTTGAATTTCTGCACAAACTGTCAGAAACCATCTCAGGGAAGCTCATCTGCCTGCTCATCGTCCTCATCGAGGTCTCGACCTGACTGCAGTTCGTTGTCGTATCCAACTTGAGTGGACAAATGCTCACATTCGATGGTGTCTGGCACTTTGGAGAGGTGTCCTCTTCACGGATGAATCCTGGTTGTCACTGTACAGGGCAGATGGCAGACAGCGTGTATGGCGTCGTGGGGGTGAGCAGTTTGCTGATGTCAATGTTGTGAATGGTGGTAGTGGGGTTATGGACAATGAACACAGGTGCATTTTATTGATGGTGTTTTGAATGCACAGAGATACTGTGACGAGTTCCTGAGGCCCATTGTTGTCCCATTCATCCACGACCATCACCTCATGTTGCAGCACGGCTCCATGATGCAAGGATCTGCACACAATTCCTGGAAGCTGAAAACATCCCAGTTCTTGAATGGCCAGCATACTCACTGGACATGTCACCCATTGAGCATGTTTGGGATGCTCTGGATCACCGTAGACAACAGCGTGTTCCAGTTCCTACCAATATCCAGCAACTTGGCACAGCCATTGAATAGGAGTGGAGCAACATCCCACAGGCCACAATCAACAACCTGATCACCTCTATGCCAAGGAGATGTGTTGCACTGCATGAGACAGTACAGTGAAACTTCACATTTACAGAGGCCTTTTATTGTGGCAGCCTAATGCAGATCTGTGCAATAATCATGCTGTCTTATCAGCACCTTGACATGTCACACCTGTGAGGTGGATGGATTGTCTCAGCAAAGGAGAAGTGCTCACTAACACAGGTTTAGACGAATTTGTGGACAATATTTGAGAGAAAATAGGCCTTTTGTTTACATAGAATAAGTGTCAGATCTGAGTTAAGCTCATGAAAAATGGGAGCAAAAACCAAAGTATTGTATTTATGTTTTTGTTCAGTGTATTTTAACCATTTATCAGTTAATTTCAATTTTTTTTTTTTTTTTTAAATTAGCTTGTTGCCGCTCAATTGACTTTAAGCTGACTTATTTACTTTTAGCTTTCTATTTCAACTTCTCTTTATTGCTACCCAGGTCTCATGCATCAGTTTAGTACATTTTTGTTTTTAAGTCAAATTACAATTTCAGTTTTGTTAACTGAATCTTATGGACCTGATGCCCTGACAGGAACTCACTGGTGTAAGATGGTAAAGCAGCTCCATGAGGTGTAGGTAGGATAGAAGTCAGACTGAATGATGCCTTACTGCATGTTGGAACTCATTTTACAAAGACGAGACCAAATGTTTCTAAATGTGAATCCTCCCTGAAACAGTAATTAGTATTATCTACTTAGCCTTTCCTCAGTCAGTAGCTGTAATCTGGTAACTGTACTGAAGCCCATGTATTGTTTCTAGCACTACTGTGTCTCTAACTTGTTGCCACGAGTTCTCTGTTGGTCCCTGAAAAGTACAAGCAACACAACAGGCCTCCTGATGGTCTGAATCAAAAACAAATAGCCTCATCATAGTGCTTTTTTTTTTTTGAAAGTGTATTAATTCAGCTGTAATCTGAGCTTTTCTGTTCTGTTTTAGTAGTTGTGTAGCTTCTGTGGTCCTGAGCCTGACAGCAGATGATGAGAGCAGCCTCCCACGTACTTTATTTACGTTACTTGACCTATATAGGGGGATTTTGATTGAGTGTGTCTCAGTGTGAGAGTTTGTTTGTTGGGGGGTTTCCTTGACTCCACTATGTCCCCTGACAGTGTGTGTGTCTGAACCATGAAGCTACTCTGACATGACAAAGTTTTCTTTATGTAAGCCAGATAGAAAAAAACGTAAAGCCCCCCAGTCAGAGATAAATGGGCATCATGAAGGTGGTTATTAGCCTTGTTGTTAACCCAGGCTCTTTTCTTTAGACTGCAAACGATGCAAGAGAGGAATGCTGGTAGAAAACCATTGACCGTGTTAGTTCTGTCAAAGTCAGCCTCTTATTTCTAACATGACAGATGCACATTAGCGCTGGTAAACTTTATACAGTACAGACCAAAAGTTTGGACACACCTTCTGATTCAATGAGTTTCCTTGAAGTTACTTGACTTTTGATTAATTTTTTCTGTGTGAGTTTGTTTGTTGGGGGGTTTCCTTTACTCCACTGTCCTCTGGCAGTGTGTGTGTCTGAACCATGAAGCTTAGCAAGTTTTCTTTATGTAAGGCAGATGGAGAAAACCTGACGCCCCAATCAGAGATAAATAAGTATTGTGAATGTGGCTATTAACATTCTTCGTGAACCCAGGCTCTTTTCTTTAGACTGTGTGCACTTTCACGTGACTCTTCACATGTTCACTGCAAACGAGAGGAATGCTGGTAGAAAACCATTGATTATGTTTGTTCTATCAATCAAGTCAGCCTCTTATTTCTAACATGACAGATGCACATTAGTCCTGGTAAACGTTATATATTTACACATGATGTAAAAGAAGTGCACTTAAATCTTACACTGCACGGCTTTGTTCAGTGGTGTGAGTAATGTAGAGCTCCTTAGGTTCACAGATAGAACACGTTCCATCAGCTTATTGTCTGTGTTGTTTATAGAGAATTATCAGGAAACTAATTGGTTAAAGAGAGGGAGGGCTCTCTAGGTCAGCACCTTTGTGACGCTGAAAACTCTGGCTTTGGGATCAACAGAGCTCGCTTACCCACCAGTTTGGCTTCACAGTCCAGCCCTCTGCTGTGTGTTATGTATTAAACTGGAGCAGAGCGAAGGACAGATGGATAAAGGTACAATGACGTTAAAGTGTGTGATAATGGTTGTGGCTGGGTTAGTTTTTCTTGGCTCTTGTGGTTGTAAGTGACAAAGAGAGAAGAGCGAGGTGTGGCATCTGTTTGTTGTCGTTTTGCTCTGAGATGCTGTTCTGGCCACCAGCAGTCCTGAATGAAAATGACACATCAACTCACAGCGGCGCTCACTTTACACGAGAAGGAAGACGAGGCAGTGTACTTTAAACACGTAAAAGGAAATATATTTTTTTTTAAAAATGAAATAACAAAAAAGAACAACATTTCATACAGAAGAGCTGCTTTTGTCATTTGCAGAGGTAATTTACACAGGACTTGAAATGAAAACACTTTACTCAAAGTGGAAAAACAGCAACCACACCACAGTTTCAAATGTTTCCTTTTTTGATTTTTATTTTCTCAAGCCTTCAAACTGATGTGCCGTACATACTGAGTTGCTGTAGGTGGGAGAGTGTTGTGCCACTTTCGGTAAAGCATGAAGAGGTTATGTCACATACTGAGCTTCTTTTTAGGGTTAATATACACTGGCTCTTGGTAGTTCACTCATATGACGTACGCACCATTGAAACATTTACACACAAAATTTTGTTATTTTTCTCTCCCCCAAAACAAGAATACTCCTTATATTTTTAAAGACAACAGTTAACAGTTCCAAAATGGTGGCTCTAGGATTGGATTATCCCACCTACATGAGGCCCTACCCATCCACACAAACATTCCTATGAACACTTCAATTTTAACAAGCATGGCTCACTATCGGAGTGTTGGGAAAGAAGAAAATTGTTGTCGTGGCGGTCTGCCTGGCAGGAACCAGGGGTGTGCATAGGTGTTACCGACTTCTTCCCCCGAGGCTCTGATAAGGCAGTTTTTCTCCTTTCCGTTTTTTTTTTCTTTTTCTTCTTCTTTTTTTTTTTTTTCTTCTTGTTGTCGTCCTCCAGTTCAGGAGCCATGTTTTGTCGTGGATGTCAGTGCTTTTTCATAGCTGATAGTGTCCCAGGAACAATGTTCCAGCTCTGCTGACCACTGATTAGCAATTTGTGTACAAGGGAGAGGAGGGTAAAGACAGCCAGAGAGTAGGCAAGACAGAATGAAAACTGAGTTGACAAAATGCAGTACATGTTTTCTTCATTGTCCATTTTGTGCAAACTGAGATGTAAACAAAGACCATCGAAGGTTGGGGAGGGAAGCATAGAACAGCAGGCTATAGCAACACAGGGAGAGACGACCGAGAGGGATGCAGTGTGCTCCTTCAACAAACTGAAAGGCACAGAGGGCCAGTGAAATAAATAAAGGGCTGAGGGTGGATGAGGGAGAAAGAAACTGCCAAGTTTCCTGTGCTTTTTGCTTCACTCAAACTTGCATTTGGAGCTGAGGGAGTTACTTGTCGCCACTGTAGCAGCTTCTAATGTGCTTCAAAGTTCGGCTTGTTTGTCACAGGGGCCGAGGAGAGTCGGGGAGGTGGGGGAGGAGGACACAGAGTACCACGAGAAGTGCCTTAAAGGTCAACACACACACAGGCACCCCCATAAGACTGCTTTATGGTCATGCTCGCTATTGCCTTTCCAATATTACCATCCATCCATCAATTACAAAAGAAAAGTACAAAATATCTACTACACTGCCCCACCACTCCCCACCCTTCAACTATATGAGGACAGAACCATATTCACTTAGTTTTTTATCATTTATATATATATGTATATATGTACACAACAATATGCCTTTGAGGCTGTTGAAAAAAAGGGGGCCGGGGGACAGATGAAGTCTCTGCGATGAGGCGTCAGTCATTAGTTTCTTCATTTCCCTCTTTTTCAACAACAGTTTATCTACAGAAATGTGATTCTGATGAGAGACGTGACTCGAGGTGGTTCGACAAAGTTTAGATTCTGTGATGAATTGGAGATGGATCGTTCAGAGCGATGAGCTAATTGCCGTTGATTGTGTGTCAGTAGACCCAGGAGACGGGGACCCACTGAGCAGTGGTGGACACCAGGTCTACAGCCTCCTCCAGCAGGCGGATGGTGTCATCAATCTCATTGTTGATGATGGTCTGGTCAAAGTAGTGAGCGTAGGTCCGCTGGAGCATCTCCGATTCCTTCTGCAGTCGCTGAAGAGAGTCGTCCTGGAGGTGGAACAGGACAGAGAGCAAGTCAACGCTTGGCTTTGACTGAGTGGAAACGCTGGGGGGGTCCACTTCTATGTTGATTCAGAATAAGGGCCGAATGTTTTTACATCACTAGTGTAATATTTAAATGAGAGGAACTGCTGTTGGTAAATTATTTGCATGTTGTTTTAAATTAAAATGAGGTTTGCTGTAGCTGATCAAAGCATGTTTAACATGTTGGCTAAAATACACAACAAGAACTTGGAGCTGTTTTGTGGTCAGTTTCCTCGAAAACGATGCACCACTGGATGTGTTTGGTTTATTTGAAACAACAACTGTTTTTGGTGTTTAAATCGACCAATCAGTGAGTTTATCTCTAGAAAATAGTTTGGCTCATTGCATCCTGTTACACTTCCTGTCATGTGGATATTTAAACCAGCTCCTGAGTTAACAGAATGAAATGAAGTTGTCTTTAAAAATAGCAACATCTTCACTAAACCTCTCACTAAAGTCAGTTCAATAGGTTTTTTTTTCCTGTCTTAAAAATATTTTAAAGAAGTTAGCAGTGAACTTCAGTTTTCTTTTCTCTGACTACAAAAAAAGTCCACTAACTGTGATGTTATTTGCTAATGCATAACCCACTTACCTGTTTAATATATAACCTTGATTAAGCTTAGTGTGAATTTCTCCTGTTGAATAATATAGGGGGTTTCTTGGACAATAACTAATATCTACTAATGAAAAAAGAAAATCAGATATTTGAACCAAATTGTGTAAAATACAGGACAGAAGGGAAAATGGAAGAGACAACAATGCGTTAAACTGCATTGAAAATGGAGAAACACCACCGAGAAAGCACCCAAATAAGGGGATTATTGGGGGGATTAGAGGAATTAGAGGAAATCAAGAGGAATAGGAGTGAACAAAGCTAGACAGCTGCTAGTTACACAAACACAGAGGCCAGATGGGCTTTTCTACAATCTCCAAACAGGAGCTGAACTCACACCATTTAATCAGTACTTACAGGCAGTTTCCTGCACCACTTTGGGACCTTGAGTGCAAATGAAAATAGGCATGCCAAAGAAAATACAAACATGCTTAAAGCAAACAGGGCATGTGCAATGAGAGAAACACTAATGAGGATGACAGAAACAGAAATTAACGTTGTTTTCACACTGGGTTTGCTTGTTTGAATACAGTGGCGTCGTCAGTTTTGCTGATCTGCTTTCAGACGACTGCGTTTCCTGTGGTCAGTGAAACGTGGCCGTTGATGCCACTACAGCAATTACACCAAGTTTTAGCGCCTCTTTGATGTCTGTCAGGACAGGGAAAGCAGTCTCTTACTGCTGCGTATCAAATTGGCCTTAAAATTCATTGTCTATTTACAGATTGCTGCTGCGTTGTCTGTTTTCTTGCAGCAGCACAAAACAGTTTAAGAAGTGTCTGTGTGCAACGCCTCTGAAATCAAACGAGGAACCAGTGGAAAGCAGTGTAGATTAAATCAGAGTTAGTATGTTAAAATAAAATAAACATGAACAACTAACAAGTGGAAGAGAAAGTAGGAGTATTAGACCATACCTCAGTCATGCCAGGGGTGATGGTGGGAGCTGCGATGAAGACGACATAAGGAGCGAACTCAGCAGTCCTGAGGATCTTTAGTGCCTGGTGGACAAAAGACAGTTTTACTTTCATCATGTAGCTCTTTTTTGCAAAATGTTTAACTGCCAGTAAATCACTGCTAAAAGTCCAGTCACTAAATGATTGAAGGCTGTTTTTGATAGATTAAAACAAACTCAACCATCCAAAATGTCTACAAAACTCAGCACTAACAATTAATTAAACCTTGAACTTAAAGTCCACCCATGAATCATTACATAAGTAGCGAGACGTGCACAGAAAGGAACCCTGAATTGCTCTGTAATTGCGTAACCGAGACACGGTCTAACTATTAAGTATCCCTGCACATGGTGCGTTATCTGGTACATGAGAGGGAGTGAAGCTCTCGTCTTCTGATTGTGGTGACGGCACTGCTGGAGAACAGCTGCAAGTTGAGCACTAATGATATCATGGAAGGCATTAGTGATGGGTTTTAGAACTTATTTTCCAGCTAATGGCTGTTTACAGCTTTGATAATGACCAGCGGTGCCCCAGTTAAAAATGACATGTTCTGCCTGTGACATGTAAAATTGTCTGGTTCACGGTATTTCATGATTATTAAATGGATTTTTATTTCCGTTGGCGTAGCAAATGCTACCTAATTGACTAAAGGTCTTTGTTACTGGGCTGTCTTCAGATGGAAAATCTCTGCTGTCGCCTTTCCATTAATGTGATGGCTTCTATTCAGTCATCAGCTGTGTTGAAAAGTGACTTTCGAGTGATTCAGAGGCTTTTTTCTGTCGGTGTGTTTATCAAGTTAAATGTTTAAAGTGCGTCTTAAGACAAACACCTTGTCCGTTACCTGGGGCTCAACATCCAGGATGGAGATCATGCCCTGGGCGTGGATCTGCCTGATGGTCTCCAGCCTGGTTCCATACATGGCGTCCTCATGGCTGCCATACTCCAGGTAGTCATTGTTGCTGATGTCCTGCATCATCTGGTCATGAGACACAAAGTAGTAGTTCTTGCCGTTCTCCTCATCCTTCTTGGGAGGCCGAGTTGTGTCTGAGCAGAGGGACAGACGGGAGGGCAAACAATGAGGAACAGGGATAAGAGCTGAGTGGAAATAATGCGTAGACTGAAAGAACACGATGACGCTGTGTCTGTTTGTGCTGCCGAGGCCTGAACAAAAGAGTGAACTTGAAACCAATGTCAGATCCATCACAGCGCTGACACAACAGCTGCATCTACAATTGTCTTTTAAAGTGTTAGTTTGATCAAAGATTTTAAAAAACACCCTTGATTATTTTTTAATCACTGTTGTTGCCATACTTCAACAGCTTTGCAGGCAGGTTGTTTAGATTTTCAGTTTCTAGCTTGATATGTTTTGTGTGTAACATATGTCAGCTCCCGATCCTGTTGCTAGACTGCTGTGGTGTGTGTGTGTCCTTACGAGGGATGGGGTAGGCGAAGCGGTCAGGATGTTTGGTAATAAGTGTGTTCTTGATGTGCCTCCTTCCAACCCCATGCGCACCTGAATCAAAGGAGACAGAAGACATGATTAAATTAACCAGACTAGAAGCAGGCTTGATGTTCACCAACAGGCTTTGAGCCTACTTGTAACATAACAGGTTGTACAGAAGGTTCTGTGTTATGATGTTTTTTGCCGATTGATATGACTGACCTCTTTCCACAGCCTTCCTCTGACTCCTGGTTGCTGACTTTAACCCCTTCCTTCCTATGCTACTGCAGGTTTTGTTGATGTTTATTAAGCCATGTGTGATCGATATAATTACATGCACTCTGTGTCTTTAGGATGTTGCAGCAGAGATCTTTTATTTTAATACTTACAGTACCAGTCAAACGTCTGAATACACCTTCTCAGTAAATAGTTTTATTTATTTTCATTATTTTCTACATTGTGGATTAATACTGAAGACATCAAAATTATGAAAGAACACACATGGAATTATGTTGTAAACAAAAAAAAGTGTTAAATCATAGTTTGTTTCCTATTTTAGACTCTCTAAAGTAGCCTCCTTCTGCTTTGATGACAGCTTTGCCCACTCTTTGTTTCTCAGTCAGCTTCATAATTACAACAAATAAAAACCATTAAATGAGGAGGTGTGTCCAGACTTTTGACTGGTCCTGTACATGCCAGCGTACAGGAAGACTCTTCATGAATTATCCTTGTGTGAAGATGCAGGTAAGACTTCCTGTTTCATATTGAAGAGTGAAGCTGGGCCATTCCATGCCAACCCTACTGACCCTCCCAATTCATGTCCAAACTTTTATTAAGTTCACAGGACTTTGCAGAATCCTAAAGCTCTACTCCACATACCTTTTTAGTTGTTATTTTTTTAATTCATGTTTTTATTTGACCTTCATAATTTTTCTGATACATTGTAAGCCTTTATTAATGGCTTGATTTTCACGATTTCACAATTTGTTGCTAA